CGCTTACACTCATAGAATCTGGGGTTACAATACGTAACCAACGTTCCAGGCTGAGTCATTTCTACCTTCTCCTCTCTGTCAACGCTCTCTGGTTTCATTTAAAAGAGTCGATCATCAGATATTGTCCAAGATTAACCTTCAGGGTGGATATAGCTCGCTCACACCGAGGACCTATCCACGTCATCATTTACCCAGAATGCTTTGTGTGGAAACAAAATGGCTCTGTCCGTGTTAAAATATGTTTTTAAACTTTTAGTTTAAAGATTATAAAAACTGAACATCCTACAGTACTTTTACAGTCTTTATTTTACAGTTAAAATATAGGTTTATTAAATAAAGTCTAATGTTACAACTAATCATGGATCCGTTTAAAATTTAAGGTATTAAATGAGAGGGATTTTTCCTACATAAATAAAGTGATGGGTTGCAGGGAAGCCTGTGTCTCTCACTTTTCTTGATGTCTGTCATCAGAGCTCCTCAACACCCTACTACACCTTCTACTACGACTCTGGCTTGTCTGATGAAGAGGAGATCGAGGAGCAGGTCCTGAGGAACACGGTCAACAGTGAAGCTCTGATGACTGCCTTCCACCACAACCAGCCAGGAACCAATGGAAACAAAGTGGGTGGAGTCCAGTCTAATATAAAACAAACTAAAACTCTTCTGATTACTGTTTCAGAACGATAGTTTGAAGTTGGTTCTTAACCTTTTCCTACATATTTGTGTGTTTGTTGCTCAAATTTGTGTATTTGTTGTTAGAGCATGGAGGAAGTGAAGGAGAAACTGTGGGAAAGTCATTTCTCTGAGTTCGGCCGCGGCGTCCACATGTTTCGCACAGAGAAGATCCAGAAGTTGGTGGCCATGGGGATCCCAGAGTCACTGCGAGGCGAGCTGTGGATGACGTTTTCTGGTGAGAGGAAACTGAGGGGGCGGGGCATAAACGCTCATTGACAAAAAGGTTCGTCATCCAGAGAGACCGATCAGATCTGAACTGACTTCAGTCCACAGGCAGACTAGTGATGGGTCTGTAACTGATTTGTTTTACGAGGAGCTGACATGTCTGTAACGAACAGGGATGACATCATGAGTCAGGTGTTATCAGGCAGTTGCTGGAGATTCTAACAGCCAATCAAAAACAGTGAATGAAGGTCACCAGACACAAAAAAAATCTCACTAATTTCGAGTTAGGAGTTAAACATGCTTGTTTTTGATCTGTGGAAGGAAAGGGGAGTAACTGGAGAAAAGCCTCATAAAACCCACCCAACAGCTCGACCAGCTGTTATCAGGCAGTTGCTGACCCATCCACTCCTGTTAAGATTAGAAACTCATGATTATACATCTTTTCTGTTGAATGATGGAATCTGAATTGTTTGAAAATGACAGTGAAACCCAGCATAAATGGAATATTAAAATACTACACATATTTTCATATTTTTAAACTTTTTTAAAGTTGTACAGAAGTGAAGTAGACCAGGGCTTCTTAACCTTTTTGACCTCTGGGCCCAATTTTTTAAACATAAAGTGACACCAGGTCCAGTCAGACATTACCAATGTATGGATCAAAATGATAATTATTATAAATCTTGGTTTGATTTTCATTGTATTTACATTATAATTAAACTATCATAACTAACATAACTAAATTAAATACACTTACAGTTTAAAAGTAAAACTACTGTCAAATAATCACAAGACATGATTATAACAAACATTTTATATTGTAACCTGCCTATAACAATTATTTAAACAAATACAAAGGTCAGTCAACAGACCACTCAGGCTTATCAGCACAAATATATNTAATAATAATAATAATTTTTTTTAGTTTTATAATGTCACCTCCACTGACCGTAAAGGTTACCCAAAAGTCCTCAAAAAGGCCCACGGACCACCCGTTGATAATCGCAGTTGTTTTGCGGTTTTGGACACATTTTATTGTGAGACGAGGTGCACAAACGGCTCTGTTGATCATAAAGGTTGCAGACCTCTGGACTTTATCAATATTTAGCTTAATATCTATAAAATGACTGAGTTATAATTATTTCTGTGCTTTGAGATTACATAAAAACACAAACTGTTCCATGTTATTTAGTTAAATATGCAAAATGTCAAATATTGTTTTAAAAGATTCAAGAAATAGTTTGAATTTAGGAACAGCTGCTGATGTAAAAGTCAACATTTGTCAGCAGACGGTGCAGCTTCAGCCTAAAATAAAAAGAGGAAATGACACAAGTGAAGGGCGACAGAGAACGGTTAAAGCAGAAGATCAGGAAGTGAAATTCAGGTCCTGAGCACAACTAAGACCAGAAACCACAGCTGAGAGAACATCTGTCATTTCTCTTTACATCCACTTTTCACATCTCTGTCTCTGGGAAATCACCTTTATTAATTCAAATATGTTTTCTTCAGTCAAAACTGCTCTATTTTTATTTTTATATGTAACTAAACATGTCTGTGTTTGATGAAACCAGACAGACACTTGTTTGTAACAGATGAAGTTGTCAGTAAACCTGTCAGAATGAAAACAACTGAAAAGAGGAACCATACATGCTGAACAGATACCAGAAAACCAAAGTAGACAAAAAGGAAGTAAAAAAACAAAATAAATAAATATCTAAATGTGTCTGCTGGAATAAAACACTGATTCTGTGTGTAAATAAGAGGCTGAATCTCTGAGGTAAAGATGTGCAGAGGTTCACCAGCCTGTGAAAAACTGCTCCTAAAAATTCAGTTTTTATTAGTCGAGTTAACTCTGATTAATGTTAGTGCTGCATGGGCGTAGATTAAAACTTTTAATCACAATTAAAATGTACAATCACTTTACTCTGTCTGAATCTGTAGGTTTGTATATTACAATGCACTCAGTGCATCATGTCAGGTCATGTTTGTCAATGAGAAGTGGTTCTCAAACAGTTTACCTGCATAAATAAAGGTTAAATAAATAATAAACTCCATGTGTAACACATTATGTACAGTTTTTTCTTTTTGTCTTCTTGTGGCTTATTTTATTTTATTTATTTATGTTTTACTGACAGCTGTGACCTTAGTGTGTATCTTTACTCATTTAGAATGAAAATCCTTGAATTCTTGATTTAACCTCATTATTCTGCACTAAATGTCCATCCATCCATCCATCCATCCATCCATCCATCCATCCATCCATCCATCCATCCATCCATCCATCCATTTTCTTCCTCCTATCCGGGGTCGGGTCGCGGGGGCAGCAGCTTCAGAAGGGAGGCC